ATTCATGGGTCATTGAGTCTTCCCAATAGGGACCCAAGAGGAGGCAAGGAACCCAGGGAGGAAGCCCATGGGGTGGGGGCTCTGGCCATAGTGACCAGGTGGGGTCTAGGAGTGCAAGATGGACTGGGGTTTCTGGAAAGAGGATGAATCTTCAGAGATTGTCTCAATAAGATTCAAGAGCCTTCAGAGCTGGTGTGACTTTTTATGGTGGGGTGCTTGGGGGGGATTATTGCCTTCTCTCCAGGATGAAGATGGGAAGGAGTTGTCTGATGAAGACATAAGAGCAGAAGCTGACACCTTCATGTTTGAGGGTGAGGGTCCCAGTGTGGGGCTCTAGCAGGGCCGGGATCTCTCCATTCCAGGAATCTAGTGGCCGGACCCCCTCAGTCTTCCCACGCCCCCTCCCCCATCCTCCCGGAAGTCCTCAGTGTGTGGGTGCTGTCCACCTTCAGGTGCTGAAGCAGCCCAGAAACCCAATCCTGTCTTGCTGCCCCTCAGGCCATGACACCACGGCCAGTGGTCTCTCCTGGCTACTCTACCACCTTGCAAAGCACCCAGAATACCAGGAGCGCTGCAGGCAGGAGGTGCAAGAGCTTCTGAAGGACCGTGAGCCTAAAGAGATTGAATGGTGAGTGAGGGTGCTGGTGGCTGTTCCTGAGCCCCTGTCATTGGCTCTGCTCTCCAGGTGGGGAGGGGAGGAAGAGTTGATTCAGCCACTATTGCTTAGTGGGAACAGGAGCAGAGGACCACAGACAGGGCTTAATACCCACCCGACTGTTAGGGGAAAGGTTGTAAGCCCTTAGGAGTGAAAGGCCGGGCTGCTGAGAGAATTGGTGATGATATGTGAGGACAGATAACGCCACTTAGCCCATGTTCAGCAAACGAACTTCCCGTCCACTCTCTTCCTTTTCTCCCAGAAATAATATAATTTTTTCGAACATCTTCACTTCTTGAGTGTTTGCTCTTCTGTTGCCTAATTCCTACCCTCCTGTCCAGCCCCGGGATTTATAAGGCAGACCTGGGGGTAAATGTCATCTATTCTTGTCCAGAACACCTGCACCATTCATCCATCCAGTCCTCGTTCAGCAAACGCTCTAACCCTGCATTCCACCCTCACATCTGCGCACAGCATCTTTCTGTGCTCCGGAGACCTGGGAAGGACCCAACCCAGGGCTCTGTTTTCCACGTGCTCCCAGCCTGGTGGGGGAACTGTCCCTGGTCAGGACACTCGCAGCCCACATGGGCAGTGATGGGGCTTACAGTAACAGGAGCATGCATGGGGGTATAGAAAGTGTCTCAGTTGAGAGCCTGAATAATGATCAGTAGATAATTGGGTACAGTTGGGGAACAGTGCTCTAGGTCAACAAGACTGCCTCGGGTCTTCAGGGGAGGGAGAGAGAGAGAGGCAGAGAGAGAGACAGCAGAGTGGGGACAGAAAGGAGAAGGGGAGAAAGAGGGAGAGACTGAGTCATGGCGAGATGATAAAACTGGAGATGGTAGCAGGGGCTGACTGCGGAAGCTTTGGGGAAAATGTTAATGTCTTCAGTTTTAACCCAAGGGCAATGGGGAGCCAAGGGAAGTGTTTGAGCAGGAGAGGGACAGGTCAGATCTGGGTACCAGGAAGTCCTTTCTAGTGCTAGTGTGGAGGGCATACTGGAGAGGACCAGCTGTAGAATGAGGGCATGGGGGGACATTCTGAGGCCCCAGCAAGGCCAGGGCCTGGAGGAAGGAGAGGAAGCATTGGAGTGGACAGATGTCTTGGATTCAGTGTCCTCCCATCCACACCTTTGCTCAGCACAGCAGTCCTGGGAGAGGAAGAAACATTTTTATGCTTTGAAAATCAAGAATTTTTTTGCATTTTCATTTTTTGAAACACATATTTATTGATGCATAATAGAGGCACATAGTTTTGAAATACATGTGATAATCTAATATATTCATATAATTAATAAAGATCAAATCAGTGTACTTGGGATATCCATCGCCAGAAATATTCGTCTTTTCTTTATGCTAGAAACATAACATACGCAAACTACTCTGGAATGTACAGTACATACTGTATGTTATAGTGAGACCCCAGATCTATCAAGTGCTAGGTTTTATTTCTCCTATCAAACCTCATATTTGTACCCATTAATCAGCTTCTCCTCATCCCTTCCTCCCCTCTACCAGTCTACCTTCTATTTTCATGAGACCCACTTTTTCAGGTCTCGCATGTGAGTGAGAACATGTGATATGTGTCTTTCTGTGCTTGGCTTATTTACTTACCACAGTGATCCCCAGTTCCATCCATGTTGCCACAAATGACAGAATTTCAGTCTTTTTAGCGGTGGCATAATATACACACCACCTTTTCTTTATCCATTCATCAATGAATGAGAACTTAGGTTGATTCCATCATTTGGCTCTTGTGAATAGCGCCACAATAAACACAGGAGTATAGATACCTCTTCAATAGATTGATTTTCTTTCTTTGGGATAGAAATCTCTTCTCTTTCTTTTCAGTAGTGGAATTTCTCAGTTTTATGGTAGTTCTAGTTTAGTTTCTTGAGGAACCTCTGAGCTGTTCTCTACAGTGGCGGTGCTAACTTATAGTCTCACCAACAGTGTGAGAGCCCCCTGTCTCCACATCCTCACCGGCATCCATCATTGCCTGTCTTTTTGATGAAAGTCATTTTAACTGGGATGAGATGATAACTCATTGTGGTTTGGATTTGCATTTCTCTGACGATTAATGACATTGAGCATTTTTTCCCATCTACCTCTTTGCCATTTGTATGCCTTCTTTTAAGAAATGTCTATTCAGATCTTTTGACCATTTTTAAATCAGATTTTTTTTCCTATTGACTTGTCAGAGCTGCTTATGTATTCTGGCTATTATCCGCTTGTCAGATGGGTAATTTGCGAATGTTTTCTGCCATTCTGTGGGTTGATTCTTCACTTTCTTGACTGTTCCCTTTGCTGTGCAGAAGCTTTTTCACTTGATATAATTTCACTTCTCTATTGCCTGTGCTTTTAAGGTTTTTCACAGAAAACCTTTGCCCTGACCCATGTCCCAGAGTATAAAACCAAGATTTCAAGCAAAATTATGCGAGTGGTTAAAAGCAAAGGCCCAGAACACTTAATGATAAAAATGAGCTTCCTTATTAAGCTCCACCTTAGCGGTGACTATGGGCAACAGTTTCCTGTGTATTCTTCCAGGAAATGGCTATCCCGATGCCCACATTTATATGAGCCCATACTGTGATATTTATTTATATGAACACGCACTGCGCTTTTCCTTGTAAATGAAAGTACATAAAATAGACACAGGTCAGTACATTATCTCTGAGATCCTTTGCTTTTCTTAAAATATAAATTTTGAAAAATGAGTTTGCTTTTAAATGTGTTATTTATCTTTAATTGACAAGTTTTAATTATATATGTATTAGAGGTACAGTATGATGTTATGATGCATGTATACAACCTGAAATTATTAAATCAAGGTAATGAACAAATCCATCACTTCATATATTTATCCTCTTTGTGTTGAGAACCTTTGAAATGTACTCTCTCAGCAATTTCAACTAATACAATACATTGTTCACTAAAGGCGCCACGCTGTGCAGCAGGTCTCAAAAACGTATCCGTCTTGTCTAACTGAAGCTTCTGCCCTTTGACCAGCATCTCACCCTTCCCTGTCCCTCCCCTAGCCCTGGCCTCTGGTAACCACCATTCTACTCCTATTTCTATGAGCTCGACTATTTTAGGTCCCAAGATAAGTAAGATCACGTGTGTTTGTCTTTCCGCACCTGGATTACTCCACTTAGCGTAAGTTCCTCCAGGTTCTTCCGTGTTGTGGCAAATGAGACAATTTTATCTTTTTAAAAGGCTAAATGGTATTCCATTGTGTGTTTATATATGTCATATGGAAAAAGAGCATTAAATTCCAAAACCAATGATAAAAGAGAGTTCTTCTTGCACCAAATGAGACATTACAGATAAGACTGGGGTTTTCCTTGACAATCCTGCCACCCCACCCAATCCTCTCTCATTCTCCAAAGGTGTCTCTAAGCCATAAATTTATCTATGTATGTATGTATGTATCTATCTATCTATCTATCTATCTATCTATCATCTCTATCACCTATGATGATACATATGATTATGTATCTTTCATCTATTATCTATTTATCTACTATTATCTATGTTTCTATGTCTACCTATTATCTATGTGTTTATGTATCTATGTATCTTTATATCTCTCTATATCAGCTATCTATCATCTTTCAATCAATCAATCACCTATCTCTGCATCATTTATGAATCACTCATTTTTATAAATATATTTCCATATATTTTCTGGTCTTTTACATGTACATATGTATATGCTTGTAACTTTTTTTCACTCAACAGGGTGCCTTAATGCTGTCTTTTTCTGAGTGCTGTATATTTTATTCCATATTTTATTCAGCTCATTTCTACATTGAAGAGGACATTAAATGTTTTCAATTATAGTAGATATTTACAATTTGCCTTCCAGAGTGTCTGTACTGATTTACCTGCTAGCCTGTGGTATGTGATGAGATTAATGATCCCTATGTCCTCCTTTTGTTTAGCTGTGTAGTATTCCATTGTGTGGGTGTTTACCTAAACATTTTTCCACTAATGTATATTTGTCTTGTCCCCAAATTTTTGCTAAACTGGACACAATGCAGTCAGCCTGTGTGTACAGTGAATCATTCCTTACATGTATAAGCATCTCTGCAGGACAAATTTCCTGAAGTGCAATTGCTGAATCTAAGACCATTTGCACTGTACAATTTTTTTTTTAGACAGAATTTCACTCTTGTTGCCCAGGCTGGAGTGCAATGGCATGAGCTCAGCTTACTGCAGACTTCACCTCCCAGGTTCAAGTGATTCTCCCGCCTCAGCCTCCCGAGCAGCTGGGATTACGGGCACCCACCATCATGCCCAGCTAATTTTTTGTATTTTTTTTTAGTAAAGATGGGGTTTCACCATGTTGCCCAGGCTGGTCTTGAACTCCTGACCTCAGGCAATCTGTCTGCCTCAGCCTCCCAAAGTGCTGAGTTTACAGGCATGAGCCACCGTACAAGACGATTGCAAATCCTTTACTATTAGCTGAGTTTTATGGCAAAACTTTCCCATAACTTTGCTGATAGTACTATTGCATTATTGAATTTTAAATCTTGGCCAATCTTCATATTTCTTCTTTTGATGGATATTTTAAAAAACAAGAGCGAGGCTGAACATCTCTTGTACATGTTGATGTTATTTGCTTTCTTTTTACGGAGCTGGTTTTCTTACTATTTTTGCTCTTTTTCTTTGGATTCTTGAAAAGCATTTACTTTTAAGAATGTGTATTAAAATTAATCTTTTTTTCTGTCCTATGTTGCAAGATATTGCCTCTTAATTTTTGGAGGGCACTTTGGATTAATTTCTATGAAGTTAAATTGGTCCACATTTTTCTTTCACAACTGTAAAATCCATGCATTTCCCAGGATTTTGTTTGGGGGACGTGGGGACCCCTTCACCAAATGTGAAGTTTTTACTTACTCTCATGTCTCTTTCTGAGCTCTCCCTTCTGCTCCATGGGTCTATTTTCTTGTTTTTGCAATATTGTCACACTGTTTTTATCATTCCTGTGACTTTGTAACAATTCTTTTAAAAAGTTAAAAAGAAAAGAAAAGAAAAGGTCTCACTTGCACACAGAGAAGCTGTAGAATTGTGTCTTTGCTCCCTCGATAATGACTGGGGCTGGGGTGTTTCCTTAGGGATGACCTGGCGCAGCTGCCCTTCCTGACCATGTGCGTGAAGGAGAGCCTGCGGCTGCATCCCCCAGTCCCTGCCGTCTCCCGCCACTGCACCCAAGACATTGCTCTGCCAGACGGCCGGGTGATCCCCAAAGGTGCGCACAGCCTCGGGGGAAGGAGACTCCTGGGTAGGAAGACGGGCCCCTCAGGCAGGGGGGCCTTGTCCCAACTGCCCCTTCTCTCCCACAGGCGTTATCTGCCTCATCAGTGTTTTCGGAACCCATCACAACCCAGCTGTGTGGCCGGACCCCGAGGTGCTCCCCGCTCCCTCCCCCCTCCCTCTGTTTTTGTCCATTTCAAGGCTCCTAGAGGAGGGGGCAGGGTTTTGATCAGGAGAATCCAACATCACCTCCTTCCAAGACACACACAACTGACTGTCTCCCCAAGGCTGGCGGTCCTGGGAGACCCCACCCAGCAAGCCTCCTTGGTCTCACCTCCAGGTCTACGACCCCTTCCGCTTCGACCCGGAGAACAGCAAGGAGAGGTCACCTCTGGCTTTTATTCCCTTCTCGGCAGGGCCCAGGTAAGGGCGGCCTGTGTCTGAGGCGGGGACAGGGTGATGGGTACGGGGGTCTGGGCATGACAGTGGGGAAAAGGAGGACATTGTAGATGGTCCGAGTTCCAGCTCTCCTTCCCTCCCCTCCTCTGGAGTTTACGGGAAGAGGTCCACAGAATAGGGTTGGGTTGGTGCTAGAAGGGTCCCTGGTGTGCTCAGGGCACTCTCATACCCAATCCTTGGTCTAGGCTGTGGGCTGGATCTGGGCTAGGACCGCAGGATATGCAAGCCCACATGGGACTCCAGGCACGGATGCCCACTTTCTCTGTCCCTCAGGCTGACCTGGTCGGGGCTGGGTGTCCCAGCCCAGGTTCCCAGCTTGATGGGGCCAGGATGGGGTTCTTGGTTGCAGTGTGAGTTCCCACCTCCCTCCCCTAGGAACTGCATCGGGCAGGCATTCGCGATGGCGGAGATGAAGGTGGTGCTGGCGCTCACGCTGCTGCGCTTCCGCGTCCTGCTGGACCACACCGAGCCCCTCAGGAAGCCGGAGCTGGTCATGCGTGCGGAGGGCGGACTTTGGCTGCGTGTGGAGCCCCGGCGCTGAGGTCTGCAGAGACCTACTCTACCCCTCCTGAAATGACCCCTGATTCATCAAAAGTGAGGCATAGAATTACCACATGACTCTATTCTGCTGTAAAGCTTTCCGTCCTAGATATATACTCAAAATAATTGAGAAAGGTGTTCAAACAAAAAGACGCTTGTGCATGAATGTTCATGGCAGCCCTATTCCCAGTAGCCAAGCGATGAAAGCAACCCCAATGTATATATTACCAGATGAAAGCATAAACAAAGTGTGGCCCATCCATACAATGGAATATTACACAGCCATAAAAAGGAATGAAGCACAGATCCATACTCTGTGGTGAACCTTGAATACATGATACTGAATGAAAGACATCGGATGCAAAAGGTCACATAGTGTATGATTCTTTTATCTAAAATTTCCAGAACAGGCCAATGTGAAGAGATGTAAAGCAGATTGATGGCTTTCAGGAGCTGTGGGGAGGTGGGACTGAGGAGGACCTGCTAATCAGGACAGGATTTCCTCCTGGGATGGTAAAAATTCTCCAGACCCAGATAGTGACCAAAGGAGCATGACATTGTGAGTGCACTAAATGCTATTGAACTGGACACTTTGAAATGGTTGAAATGGTGAATTTTATCTTATGTGAATTCTACCTAAAAATGGTGTAATAACTCATATATATTTTTTCATCTGGATTATTCACACAGGAATATGTTGTGAGCATCTTTCCATGACATTAAATCATCTTAGGAAACATTATTTTGTGTTTTTTTTAATGTGCATGTTAAGCATTCAAATCAGTCTTAAATTTTTAAAAAGACATAATGTTAGAAAATAATTTAAAAAGGTTTTGCCTCCGTGTGTAAGAATTGTTTCCATGCACATTAATGGCTTGATATATTATTAGTTACAAATCGAGTTGTTCTTCATCAAAGGACTTTTGGGGTGGAGATTTTATTTTTATAGCTATAATAGATGCACAAATATTCCTATAAGATACAGGTGTGGTTAGAGACTTTTCTAGAACAGGTATGCCCTACAAACTCCACGGACACTGACTGTTTTGGTCCTATTAACAAGTAGACCACTGAAAAGGGAGAAGGTGACATTTTAGCTTCCCCAGGTAAATGTTATTTTCATGTTCACACTCATCTTATGGAGTGGAAGTTAACTCTCTTGCTCAAGGTCACTCAGTGAGTGGCAGAGTGGGGATAAATCTGGTCCATTTGGCATGAGAGGTCATGCCTTATCCTACCACAGAAGTGATTTTCAGAGTGAGTCTTAGCCCTAGGCCCATGAGATCAACTGGGAGCCACTCCAGAGTGAGTAGATGAGACTTTGACAGGGGTGCCTAAATTTTTAAATGTAATACCGTTGACAGGAAATACATTCACTCATGCAAAAAGTTAAATGCACAGTGACAGTATTGGTGAAGTGTTGGTGCTACACATATCCTTCCTCTGCCCGGTTTCTCCCTCTTTCTAAAGGTAAACACTTTTACTCTTTGGGTACCCTTTCTAGCCTGGCGACAGAGTGAGATTCGGTCTCAAAAAAGCAAAAAACAAAACCCATACTGTTTCCAAAGCATCTGCGTTGTGTTTAATTTCCATAAGTAATGTATGAGAATTCTAGGTCCTCTAAATAATTAGCAGCGCTTAGTAGTGTCAGTTTTGCTTCCAGCCTTCCTTATGGATGTGCTGTGGCATATCCCTGAGATTTTAATTTGCATTTCCCAATGACTAATGGCATTGAAACATTCGTGCCTTCATGTACCTATTTGACATGCCTATATTTTCTTTGGTGAAGTGTCTGTTCAAATAATCTGCCTGTTAATTTTTCCTTGGGTTGTTTGCCTTCTTATTGTTGGAGTTTGAGTGTTCTTTATAGATTTTGTGCACAAGTCAGATGTGTGATTTACAAGTATTTGTCAGATGTGTGATTTACATGTCTTTTTCCTAGACTCTGAAGTTTCTTTCCTAGAGAAAACATTTTGAATTGTTTTGAGGTAATACTTACCAATTTTACTTTTTTATGAATTATGTTTACACTGCCATATATAGGAACTCTTTGCTTAACTGGAGTTTATGGAGATTTTTCTCCTACATTTTCTTTTAAAACTTTTATAGTTTTAGATTTTACATGTAATTCTATAATCAAAATTTATTTAGTTAAATTTTGTATGGGGTGTGAACTATGGTTTGACTGTTTTTTTTTAAAAAAATAGATATCCAATTGTTCCATACAATTTTTTTGGAAAGAGTATCCTTTTTGCATTAACTTGCCTTGCAGGTTTGTAGATCACTCAATTGTTTAAATTTGGGTGCATATATTTCTGGATTTTCTATTCTGTTTCATGCTGGCCCATTACCACACTGCCCTGGTCACTGTAGCATTACAGTATGTCCAGTAGCCCTGGTCACTGTAGCATTACAGTATGTACATATTCCTATAAAGGAATAATGGGAATCCTTCAACTATATTGTTTTCCAAATAATTTTTGGCTATTCTGCATCCTTTGTGTTTTTATGAAAATTTTATGATCAGTGTGTCTATTTCTACAAATAGTCCTGATAGGATTTTAATTGAGATTTCTGTGAATCTATAGATCAATCTGAGGAGACTTAACAATGATATTGATTCTTCCAGTTCATGAACATAGTATACCCTGCCTTTATTTTCTTCTTGGATTTCTTTCTTTCTTTCTTTCTTTTTTTTTTTTGAGACAGAGTTTCACTCTTGTTACCCAGGCTGGAGTGCAATGGCACGATCTTGGCTCACCGCAGCCTCCACCGACTACAGGCATGTGCCACCATACCCAGCTAATTTTTGTATTTTTAGTAGAAACGGGGTTTCACCATGTTGACCAGGATGGTCTTTAACTCCTGACCTCAGGTGATCCACCCACCTCAGCCTCCCAAAGTGCTAGGATTACGGGTGTGAGCCACTGTGCCCAGCCATCACTGAGAGACTCTAATGGTCCACATGAGGCTATGTTCTTGCTCCTGTGTTCCTGTCTTTAATCTATCATTAAGTAATAATGGCACACACATGCTTAGGGCTGACCATGTGTCTGGGAGCATTGTTGTAAACACTTTACTCATTTTTTTTTTCTTTTGAGATGGAGTCTCGCTCTGTTGCCCAGGCTGGAGTGCAGTGGCATGATCTCAGCTCACTGCAACCTCCACCTCCAGGGTTCAAGCTATTCTCCTGCCTCAGCCTTCTGAGTAGCTGGGACGACAGACATATGCCGCCATGCCTGGCTAATTTTTTGTATTTTAGTAGAGATGGGGTTTCACTGTGTTGCCCAGGCTCCTGAGCTCAGGCAATCTATCTGCCTCTGCCTCCCAAAGTGCTAGAATTACAAACGTAAGCCACGGTGCCTGGCCAACACTTTGCTCATTTTAACTCACTTAATTTTCATGATAACCTTGTTATTACCCCCAGTTTTCAGGTGAGAAGACTGAGACATAGAGAGGTAAAGAGACTGGCTCAAATTCCCATCGCTGGTTGAGAGCTGAACCATGCAGCCTGCACCTGGAGTCCCTGTTCTTCACCAGGCTGCTGTCAGAGCCACCATCAGAGCCCCCACTCCTGTCCCAGGTCTGACCCTTGCAGTGCAGGCAGCACATTCTGGAGAAATCATGCCCTTAGGAGCATCCCTGAGTAATGACTGTTGGGTATCAGTAGATAAGTAACCCAGCTCCCTCCCTGTGGATGGGATGACTCCCAGCTACTCGGGAGGCTGAGACATGAGAATTGCTTGAATCTGGGAGGTGGAGGTTGCAGTGAGCCAAGATCGCACCGTTGCACTCCAACATGGGTGACAGAGCAAGAGTCCATCTCAAAAAACAAACAAACAAACAAACAAAAAAACAGAATCCCATCCTTTTTGCCCCTTTTCAGCGATGTTCTTGAGGTCTCCTTTCTTGGTTTTGAAGTGGTTCATTTTTCTGGGGTAATACCCGAGGTTCGTTGCCCCATGCCAAGGAAATCAAGGACATGGACACACACATGGAGTGAGTTTAAGAGCGGAGGTTTAATAGGAAAAAGAAAGACAAAAGGAGAACAGTGCTGTCTCCCGTGAGAGAGGGAGCACCGGAATGGAAATTCCTGCTCGCCCTGGAGTGCCAGTGCAGGGGATTTTATATACTGGCTTGAGGAGGAGGTGTCTGATTTACATAGGGCCCCAAAATTGATTGGACCAGGTGTGACCTTTACAAAGCACCGGACGAAGCTGGCTGCCCCATTCTAATCTGTTATGCAAATGGACTTTCCACTTGGCCTGCACCATGTTGTCTGCTCCCTACTGGGCATGTGGTTGTCGAGGGAAAGGGAGGATGGAGCCACCATGTTGGACATGCCTAGTCTCCAGGTTGCCCCTTTCCTGTTGGCACAGCTGCCAGTATTCACCCTTGCAAGCTTCAAGCCTGCCTATGTCTGTCGCTTGATTTCACAGGCTGCTCTTTGTCAGAAAAGAAAATGATTTGGGGACAGCTTTTCATTAAAAGGAAAACCTTACCCTCACTCGCTGCCTAAATAATTTCTTCTCAACTCCTACATCAGTTTGGGATAAGAAACACCCTTTCCCCTCCACAGGGATGGTCTCTGCAGCATTTATTGAACAGGGAGTCCTTTCTCCATTGCTTGTTTTTGTCAGGTTTGTCAAAGGTCAGATAGTAGTAGTGTGCTAGCCTAGAGCCAGAACCTGAGCAACACCATTTTATAAAATGCAAAACTGTTTTTAAAATAAGTTGCAACGGCTGCCCCATTCTCCTCACAATAACTGCTGGCCTTGGCTTCTGTAAATAGAACTGCTAGTTTGTTCTGCAAACTATGTAAAACTGGTTACCTTTTCTTTCTTTTTTTTTTCCCCCATTTATTTATTTTATTGCATTTTAGGTTTTGGGGTACATGTGAAGAACATGCAAGATTGTTGCATAGGTACACACGTGGCAGTGTGATTTGCTGCCTTCCCCCCCATCACCTACATCTGGCATCCCTCCCCTTGCTATCTCTCCCCAGCTCCCCACCCCACACCGTCCCTCCCCTATTTCCCCCCAACTGACCCCAGTGTGTACTGCTCCCCTCCCTGTGTCCATGTGTTCTCATTGTTCACACCCGCGGGCAGAAGATCAAACACCGCATGTTCTCACCTTTTCTTATCAGTAATTGCCAGAATTGCTAGCCTTTGCTTACCAGTAATAACCAAAATAAGCAGCCCAAGCTAATTCCATCCTGGCTCCTGTGACTTGTAATAAGTAACTAAGATCTGTGACCTCTATCACTACCCAGACAATGTGTAAACAAATGTTTATCTTGACTTCTGTAAACCACTTAAGTAACAAGTGGAATGGCAAAAGTCCCCTGGCCCTTGGAATGTCTGGAGACCCCCACCCTCATCTCTGCCCAGGAGGTAATTTACAGAATCCACTAGCCCTCGGAATGTCTGAAGCCTTTTTCATCCCCATCCCCGGTCCTCACCCCCACTCCCAAGGTGGTTTTTCGGGTATAAAAAGTCTTGGCACCCTCCTTTCAAGGCCACAGTTTGGAGAGACGTGAGTCCTCTGTGGTCGCCGGCATAATAAATGACCCTGCAATAAGGCATACTTTTTTTTTTTTTTTGAGACGGAGTTTCGCTCTTGTTACCCAGGCTGAAGTGCAATGGCGCGATCTCGGCTCACCGCAACCTCTGCCTCCTGGGTTCAGGCAATTCTCCTGCCTCAGCCTCCTGAGTAGCTGGGATTACAGGCACACACCACCATGCCCAGCTAATTTTTTGTATTTTTAGTAGAGACGGGGTTTCACCATGCTGACCAGGATGGTCTCGATCTCTTGACCTCGTGATCCACCCGCCTCGGCCTCCCAAAGTGCTGGGATTACAGGCTTGAGCCACCGCGCCCGGCCAATAAGGCATACTTTTGTCTTGGTGCTTTCTACGCTTGGTCCAGTATAACAGTAGGTGTGTGGTCTTGTTTCTGGGCTCTCTATTCTATTCCATTGGTCTGTGTGTCTGCTCTTTTACAAGTGCCATGCTGTTTTGGTTACTGTAGCCCTGTGGTGTAGTTCAAAGTCTGGTAGGCTGATGCCTCCAGCTTTGCTCTCTTTGCTTAGGATTACCTTGGCCATTTGGGCTCTTTTTTGGTCCCACATGAATTTTAAACTAGTTTTTTTCTAGTTCTGTGAAGAATGTCAATGGTAGTTTAATGGGAATGGCACTGAATTACAAATTGCTTTGGGCAGTATGGCTGGGCCAGATTTCATCACCACTGTGGATTGGCAGGACACCTGGTTCCTGCTTTCTCCTGGACCCTGAGGGAAATTGTCCTATGTCTTTGCTTTTCTCAGCAGGAATGAAGAAAGAAGCAGAAAGGGACACACTTTTCAGGCCATCTGAT